AACAAATTTTTATCAGATCAACTAGTTTTAAGAAGATGCATCATTTGTCAGAATTAAATGTTTAAGTCACACTTTTTAGCCAGATGAAATTTAAAATAATTTCATAAAATGTGAATATATTTCTGTGCCTAGGAGGTAAACTGCACTATGTCATTCTAGTCAACTGTTTAGTACAGCAGATTGAATGTTGTTAAATTATTAAATTTCAACTAGATATGCATTTAGACACCCCATTTATTATCACAATATTTGTATTTTTTACTAACCTAACTGATATAGTATATTACATTACGAGTGTGGAAAGTGACATTTTTCACACGAGTGGGAAATATTGTCGCACGAGGCGTAAGCCGAGTGCGACTATCACACGAGTGTGGAAAATCACTTTTCACACAAGTGATGTACAATATTTTTCCTACGACCACAAAATAATTTCATCAAAAAATGTAAAACCAGATTATTATAATAATTAAAATGTATTTAAAAAAATAATCAACAATAATCGTATTTATTAAATTTTCATAATTTCTAAACAAATAAAAAAAAATTTAAAAAAAAATAAAAAAAAAATAAAAAAAAAATTCTGGCACAGCCAGGATTCGATCGCGGTCGTTGGACGGTCTCAAATTGCAAAGTTGATGCTCTAACCTAACCAACTGAGCTAACAGGCCTTACGGTAATTGATTGATCTAATCGCTTATGTGTTTAACCAGAATAAAAAGCAAATATATCTTAGTTATTTTAAAATTATTTTAAAAATAATTGTTAAAGATAAATATCTAGGATCTAATTTACAATAATTTAACAATCATATCGATTTTAGTATTAATATGGACATTACATAGATCAAAATAGAAATTATGTGTTTGACATTTTCTGACAGCTACTGCGGAAAGTAGCATATTCTCACTTGGGTGGAAAGTAAATTCTTATTCATACGCGTGTGATATAGGGCACTTTCCATAGGTCTATATAGTGTGATATGTGTCACTTTCCTAAGTGGTCGTAGGAAAAAACTATTTTAATTTGCATAAGTTGTTGTATATCGACATAGTGCAGTTTACCTCCGAGGCAGTTCTATAAAATGGAATGTATGGGTTGATATTCTAAGATTATTAGTACCTATCATTTTATTTTTTAAACTACTAAATATAATGTAAAAAATAACTTTTTGTAACATTTAACTATAAATTTTATTTATTTACCTTGCAAAACTCTTTTCATAGGTTCTGAGTAAAGAAATACTGATGGGAATGTATTTGCAAATAATCGTTTTCTTGCTTCTGACTGATAAACGAATTTATCCTGGAAGTGCAGTTCACAAATTTTGTAATGTTTACTTAAGTATTCAACACTCTTTCCCAATAAGTCCTCTCTATTTGCTGCCTTAAGCCACAATTCAAGTCTGAAAAATACATACAATCATTGTACTACAATGTTATGGCAAGGTCAATTCCTATTTCAAACTCAAAGTTTCATACATACCTCACTGGATCTTTCACAAGAGTGAACAATCCTTCTTTGCCACCTGTTCTTGAGGTACATCCACGATAAATATAAGTATACCCTCCTCCTCTTTGACGCGGCATTGTTTATAAACCTAATCTTAATACGTACAATAATGTCTTAAATGAACATTCCACAATTAAAAACAGCAACAAAAACTAAAAATAAACCACTAACAAAACGTAATATTTTAAGATCCGAAGTAAGGTCGACCTTCACCCATCTGTTTAATGGATGAAAGTTTCTTTTTATTACATAAAATATATTTATAAATATATCGCAAATGAATTGCCTAAGAAAATACGGTCCAGACTATTTTTTTTCTTAAAGTAAAAAAAAACGACACCCTGTAAAGTATTTCCCAGATGCTTCAACTATGCCCAAACTTTAATCAGCTCACCGCAAGATGGATTAAAGCTTAAGTTAAAAATTTGGTGTTTTTCTCTTCATCCGTTTCTGAGTTGTCTTCAAAATTCGAAATTTGCACTTTTTCTCAAATATCTCGAATTAGGTTCATTTTAGGAAAATCATGTATGGAAACAAAATAATAGATGACATCATAAACAACTTTTATTATGATTTTTATACTTTCTTTATCTGTGCACAGAAAGGATAGTAAAAAATGGCCGTAAACATATTTTCTTAGGCAACCCATTTGCGGTATATTTAAAAACATATTTTATTTAATAAAAAATAAGTTTTATCCATTAAGGTCGACCCTACTTACGGATCCTGGACTATAAAAGTTATTAGAATATTCGCCAAAAATCAAAAACGACAAATAAAGATGACAGGCAAAAAATATTGACAGCGACAGCAGTGACAGCTTCGTTCATCTGCTACAAAAGTGTGCATTGTAGCACTTCGAACAAGTAACAAATCTACTTTTGACAATGCTCCACCATAAAAAAGGTGTGGCTTCGGTTGCTAGGTTCCTGTTTTAGCCCTATGTTTCTTTTCTGTATCGTTCTTTATCCTGTCTTTCTGGGATTTGGTGTGTTGTCTGGGTACTGCTCAACTAAATGTATTATTATCAATAAGTGTTGTTAACTGTAAACTCCAACTTAAACAAAAATAAATACTTATGTAACAATTGTATAAGGTAGTAAAATCTGTGTAAATTATATTTTAAATAATTTGATAATAATTTTAATACAATCTACAATAATTACAAACTATAATAATAATCATGCTACAATACTGTTAGATTGTCTATTTGACAAATGCAACGTTTTTAATATAATGGTGTTAAATTCATATTTAACTCTAACGTAACTAATCCTTAGTATTAGTAGCAGTAGTATGGTACTCTAAATTGTAACATTAGGGTTAAATTATTAATCTTGTGGTAAAGTTAATATTAGTAATCGGTAGCTTATATTTTAACCTCATGTTACCCGTGTTTTCTTATTATCAATACAATTTTATGCTACTGATTTTCAATGAGTGATGTACAACATGACACTGTTGGTTTTTTGACAGTAGTTATTACGTTGCCCCCTCGACTCATGCCTCGACTGATAGGGGTGAAATTTTATATTAGTTAGCTCCACAGTTCGTAAACAACACAGTGGACTCATCACGGTTGCCAAGAACGCATTGACGTCACGGAATAAAAAAGTAATTTGATAAAATATTCTTCTTGGGGTTGTACATTAGTTTTTTAAAAATCTAATATTTGATTGTTATTTAGTGCTGTTTATATAAAAAGGCATGGAAAAATCATGTAATAATTTTCATTAAATTTCAAATGAATTACTTTTTATTTGAAATATAAAGAGAAATATTATTATGTAAATTGTTTATTTTAAACATTTTGGATTAGGGTACGTTCTCCGAGCTGAATTCGGATCACATTTTGTTTATATCCTAAAATATTTTGAAATTTTTGCAAGCCTGGAGCCAAACAATTTTTACACACAAAAATCGTTAGAAGAAATAAATGAACTGTGCCCAAACTGAAATTAAAGGCTAAGCGTAAGATTTTATCGCATTTTTCAAATATTATTTACTATTATTTAATTAATTGCAGCTTTGTCCACCCTACATTAAAAAGCAGACGAGATGGTTTCTTACAAGCATTAAACACAAGGATGAGCAAGAAAAGTCAAAGGGCTTCACTAAAAAAAGGGTTTGCTACAGGAAGTTTTTAGTAAAAAGTAATTACAATTCATTTTATAGAAAAAAACAAAAGCCTGTTGGACTTCAGAAGAAACATACAATGTATATTTATATCGGAAATAAAAAATAGGAAAGGAATGACAATACACGAACTTTTCAACAACCAGTGGGTGGTTGAAATTGTATTTTTGACTGATTTGATCGCCGATTTACAGGGAAAAAATAAATTAATACGCAATATGTATTCAGATAATAAATCATTTGAAATAAAAATGAAATTATTTATCAAGCATGTCGATGAAAGAAAACTCGATCATTTTCTAAATTGCAAAAAGGCAGTAGAAGTTGGGTAAATTTTGTTTAGCAAAATACTAAAATGAAAAGTGCATTAATACTGATTTTTGAAAACCGGTTTGCTGATTTCAAAAAAATATCTCGGAGATTTTCGAAAACCCTTTTTCAGTGGTTTTCGATAATGTACCAAACGATTTGCAAATAAACATGATATAATTGCAAAGTGATAACATACTTAAAATGGTTTTCAAGGAAAAAAAAAATACCTTGATGGATTTCTATGAGAGTTTGCATTCTGAAAAGTACAAGTATAATAACTAAGTTTGGTAGTACTTATATTTGCAAGCAATCTTTTCAATTCTGAAAACTCGAAAAAGCGAATACTATTCTCGGTTATCACATTCATATTTAGATGCATTACTCTGAATCTCTACTTCAAAAATGCAAGGTAATATAAAAAAAAATTGGCAAGTCGAATGCAGCTACAAAAATCTCATTGATTTTTTAAATTACAATAAAAAATACAATAAAATATATATAATAAGCATGACATATGTGACATATATGACATATGGCTAAATTGCGGCCCGTACTAATCTCCACTAAAAATATTTGACCCTCTTACAAAAAAAAGTTACCGACTCATGGTCTAGAAAATCTTTATATAGAGTGAAAAATTCTGCTTCCGTTTTTCGTTTTCACAAAATATCATCGCATGTGTCGACAATTTTCTCAAAACTGATTAAAAATATTAAAATGAGCGCCAGTTGAGTTTAGAATGTAAATACTACTTCATTTCTTGATTGTGAGCAGAATATTTATGAAACTCTTGGTATAGTAATAATAAGAATATGACTAACAATTTTAATTTAAAATTAATTCAGAAAATCATTATCAAGAATACAGAATAATAATATAAAAAAATATATTTATTCTTGTTACTAATTTCTAACACGCTAGAAATATATTTCGTGATTAGTATTTGTTTCAAAAATTTAAATCATACATCTACATCACGTCATATTTATTATTATTTTAATTACTGGTTGCTATCAAAATTATTCGATACCTACTTCGAGTATTGATAAAGCTTCCGGAGTCATGAAACAAAAATAGTTACATTTAGTTGTAACCACATCGATCAACATTCATTATTATATTCCAAAAAAACATTTCAAATTAGTGATGTGTATAGAAGTAAGTATAATATTTTGTTTTCTTTCTTCATATTTAGTTTCTTCTTTGCGTACCTACTTACAAATCCACTGAATTAGCTATTTAGGTTACCATATACCAATCCTTATTTTATATAACGAGAAGATCTTTGTGAGATGAGCAGAACGAGGTCCCGCAAAATGAATAAATTACACGAAACGGCATTTCGTAACAGGTTAAATACAATATTTTTTCTAATTTTGACTTAATTGTTTATAAAATTATTTAAAAAAATAACTAATATTCATGCATCCAATATTACCTACGTACAATATTAGTTGCATAGTTTGTAACATTCGACATGGCATCACTGTTGCTAATTCAGGGAAATAAAGTATTTTCTTTAAAAATATGGCATAATAATTGTAAAAAGTTGTTTAGTAGTGAATACAAATGTTGGTGATTATATTTACTAAATAAAACAAAGTAATTTTTGGACCCTCTGGGTATACTTACCTTAAAAAGTTGTAAAAAAAATATAAAAAAATTGTGAATAAAATTGTAATTTTGCACATCCACAATTATTTTATTTTTTATTGCCCACACTGTAGAACATAAATCGTATTTAAACAAATTATGAAGAATTACTTTTTTGGAAAACACTATACATAAATGTTTGGTTTGTGTTTGTCCTATTTGTATTTCGTAATAAAAATATATGATTTAGTATTGTGTGAAATATTTGCATAATATTTATAAAAAACTAATTATTGTTTCTTTTTAGATGTTTTACTATATAATGATACTGCAATAGGAAGTGAAAAGAAATTTATTAATAAGGAAATATGACTCTAGAAAAGAGTCCTTCCTTTTGTGAAAAGGACGATAAATCAACAAATGTCGAAGAAACAAATCTGCACAAAAGAAGAGCATCAGTATGTAAGTTTCTATAAATACAAGGTGAATCAAAACTATTGGGACATAGAGTAATTGTAGGTTATTTGGACCAAAACATGAGGATTGGATCAAACATGCTTTAATAAAAAGATACGTTGAAATATTATTTCCCTTTTTGGTAATAATTTTAAAATATATTTATAAATCGTTATCAAAGTTGGTACATAGGCATAACTTTAGGCAGGGAATTTTAGTTAAATAATTATTGTGTGACATGAGAGATTCCTTATGATGAAATTGGGTCATACCTTTTTAATACAGACACAATTTTTATGTAAAATTGTTTATAATTTTTTAAATTTTTTTTCTAGAAAAATCGCAAGTGAACACTTCATATATCTCTGAAAGTGCTTTCAAATGAGAAATCGTAGGCAAACTTGGTAACTCCGAATAACAAACAAAATAACTTTATAAAATTACAAATTCAAAGTAGGCTAGGTAAAAAATTGACATATCTTTTGACAAATATCATTATTTGTTACATACTTCTGTCATGTATTGTTATAGTTTGTATTTTTTTATATTAAGAAAATTCTGTTGCTTGTTCATTTATTTGTAATTATTTTATTTATTTAATTTGTCTTTAATTTATTTTTTTTTATGTTGGGCGCTTAATACTAATATCAACTGTAATTAATTAGTTTTTTTATTAGGCTGTAAATTGCAAATTAGTTAAATGACCGTGTTTGAATTTTACCAAGATTATTTTCATTAAATACTAACCTTTTTCCGGGCCTTTTCTAATTCAAACATATACAAAAAAAGACTCGTCTTTCAGAGGTGTCAAAATTATTGAAAAAAAAAAAAAAAAAAATTAAACCTGTTTTTAAGTGTAAAGGTTAAAGAAAAGGTCCTTTATTTCTCACAAGTTGACTTGTGAGAAATAAAGGACCTTTTCTTTAACCTTTACACTTAATCCCTACTACTCACATATGGCTACCCTCACTCCAAAAAACCTGTTTTTATTTAAATAAATCTTTCAAATTCATGATAAAAACCACTTGAAATAAGAATAAGTCAGAGAAATTCTTAATGAAAATTACTATTATTACTATTAAAATTAACATGAAGTAATTACTATTTTCACTTATTTATTTAATAAAATAGTAATTTTCAGAACTATCAAGGGCGTAGATAAGGGGGGGGGCAATAGGGGTAATGACCCCCCCCCCCCCAAAAGCCATAGTCAACATCAATAATTTTTAAAACTTTGTATTAAACAAAAATAGAGAGATAAAATAAATACAATAAAACAAATAGTTTCTCAAACATTGTCATCTAAAATAATAATATTCCTGCAAATTAAAAATTAAAATGTATATACAAGGTCCCATGTCCCATGTCCCATTAGTTCGTAATTGCTCAATATTTCAATTAGTGTTATTGACAAACAAGTTTTAATAAAAGTTATATGGATTTGAAAAATATATATTTTAAAAATATTTTTGGATATACAGGGTGTTGCGTTCTTGCCTGACAAATAAAAATGTATATTTTTAAAATAGAACACTCTATATTTTATTTTATTTTTAGAATGACTTGGGAATACTGTATTTAACCCTAGAATGTTTTTAAAAATATTACAGTGTTGCCAAACAATTTATTTGTTTTTAAATTAGAGAATGATGCAGACCCCAAATTAAATTATCATAATTTAGGTAGGTTTACATTAATTTCAAAATTGTTTAATATACAGACTTATAAAATACCAAGCTAACGAATAGAGGTGATACAACTGGTTTATTCTATACAGAGTGTTTTGAATATGGCTAAATATGGCTAATTTTAAGTTTAATTTACTCAATTTTTTCAAACGCAAAACATGTATATTATCTTGGCATAAAATTCCCTATAAATTTGCCCATGTAACAATACCAATGTGGTAGTCAATAACACATATACAGGGTGTCCCATCAGTGCATAATTGATCGATAGCTCTTTTATCATTAAAAATACAAAGAAATGTTTAATATAAAAGTTGTATGACCATATTTAATAAATATTCTTAAATATACAGAGTTTTCTATAAACGAGGTGCTGACCAAATCTATACTTTCTTAAAGCAAAACACCCTGCAGGTAGTTATACATATTTGATTGTTTTTACATTCTCAAACAATTTTAATTGACTTTATTCATTTGCTATGTTGTATATAGGATATGTCAAAACGTGAAGTTACGATTTTCTCAATTTTTTAAAAAGAATACCCTGTATTAATTGGTGGTATGAAATATAGGGTATTCCATTTAAAAAAAGAAAAAATCGTTACCCCTCATTTTGAAGCACCCTATATACAACATAGCAAATAAAAAAGTCTATTAAAGTTTTTTGACGATGTGAAAACAAATATAAAAATGTATAAGTTTGGTCCAGCCCCTCGTTTATATTTATTAAACATGCTCATACAACTTTTATATTACTTTGTTATTCCTATTTCCAATAATAAAACAGCTTTTGATCAATTACGCACTATTGGGACATGTTGGTATCGTTGGTTAGATAAATTTATAAGAAATTTTATGCGAAAATAATATACAGTGTGTTGCATTTGACAAAATTGAGTAAATTGAACTTAAAATTAGACATATTTAAGACATGTTTCAAAACACTCTGTATAAAATAAATCAGTTCTATCACCTCAGAAATGAAAAAGTCTACAAAGATCAACCAGAAGTGACAAATGGCGTAAGAAATATTTATTAATCTTAAGTTTTATGAAATGTAGGGTGTTCAAAAAGTTTTGAATAGAATTGTTTCTTTAGCCCTTCATTCTACGCCAATACATAATACATATACATATTTTTATGTTAAAGTTTTTACTGTAAGGGAAGATATTTAGAAAATATATATTTATGAAATTCACTTTATCACCCTGTAGAATGAAAACTGAGACGTTTATAAGAAAAAGTTTTGAATAGAATTGTTTCGTTAGCCCTTCATTCTACGCCAATACATAATACATATACATATTTTTATGTTAAAGTTTTTACTGTAAGGGAAGATATTTAGAAAATATATATTTATGAAATTCACTTTATCACCCTGTAGAATAAAAACTGAGACGTTTATAAGAAAATTATATTAAGCTTTTCTTTATAATTGATTAAGATCTACAAATCCCCAAAATTACGGTACTTTATTCTGAAACACACAAATATATAAAAAATTAAAAACTTCATTATAAAGCTCACTCTTTTTTCTGGAAATACACATAAGAACTCTAGACGTTCCATTGGTGCCATATTCTAAAATAACACGCTGCGCATTCACCAATAATGTGAAAAGTGTTACCCCCCCCCAAGAAAACAACCTAGCTACGCGCTTGAGAACTATCGTACGAAAGATGTATTTATGCGTATTGTTGATTGTCAATCTAAAAATGTAATCAACAAAAAGAAGAAGAAAAGAAATATTTTAAATTTAACACCCTGTATCTTTTTCAATAGCAACATTTTATTAAGACATGTTTGGTCCAATTCTCATTTATTTGATCAAATTTTTAGGTTTAGTTATAATTCACTCTGTGTATTTTAAAATTACATAGTTTTAAGTATGTTTACTATGTTATAAGCCTATTTTAGTTTGTAAGAAAAGCTCATTATGATCTCCAAGTTGAGTTTAGAATATATGTATACATTTTTTTCTAATATTAAGATATTGACATTTTTTGTAATCGCAGGAAGTGTCATAATTATCTACTTTACACAACCAGTTGATTAATGTTGAACGTTATAAAACTGGTTTCGAAAAATTCATTGTTGCCAGTTGAGAAAAGAAAGCAAATAAAAAATAGACCTTTTTTGGTTTTAAAATTAATAAAATACATTATTATTGAAAGTTTATATTAAAGAATATGGGTTGACCTATAAAAATAGAATTTGGTTAAAATTAAAACCTAATAACAATGTTGTTTCTGGCCTTATTGTCCATTTTAAATTAGCACAAAATAATTAAAACACAATGTACGACAAAATAATTCACTTCCTTAAAATCTAAATTACTTTAACAACCAATATAAACACATTACAACAAGTCGTTGAGAATAAATTAATACGATTATTTATCAATAAAAAAATGTTAAACACATGCAACTAACAATACAAGAAAGTAGTAATATTGGTTGCCTAGATGTTAGTATTTTTTTACTAAAACACAATTTTATCAATATTGTAGTAAAAATTAAAAAAAATATTGTATGTAACACATTACGAAATGCCTTTTTATGTAACTGGTTTCATAAATAGCTTTTATGTAGACATTGTTTTATTAACTATTGCATTTATTCTCTTGTTTACAATTACATTTTTTTAGATATTATCATTTCCCTTTCTATATTTAGTAATATAATAAAATAATGGTTGCACAAAGAATAACTGGAGTGTAAAAGTAACAAAATGTCTTTCAGGGTCTTGCGATTTTGAATCAGCCATTGCGGCTGCTGGTTTTGGAAAATTCAACGCCTATTTGGTGATTGTGGCAGCCATTACAGGATTAATAGCAGCATTCGAAGGAAGAGCAATGGCATATATTGTTCCTGCTGCTCAATGTGATTTGCATATTAATATTAATCAAAAAGCAATGCTGTCATGTATTCCTTTCGTAGGTAATATTTTTTAATATCACTTACAAAATACATTCATTACATACTTTACTTTTACCAATTTAAGTTGAATAATGTACATAATTTGTAATCAATCACAAAATATCATTTTTGTTTTACCAGATTTTAATGAAGAAAATTAAAAGAGGATTAAAAAAAAAACAAAAAATCCGAACATTAAATATAAATTATAATATTAGGTTGATAATTCTGTCGTGGGTAGGCAAAGTATAAGTCAAAAATTTAGAAGCTGAATAAATCTATGTTATATGTCTTATAAGTCGACTTATATTCATTTCCCCACCAAAAGAAGGTATTTTTGTAATTTATATTATGAAGTCCAAATTCAATAGCGACCCTAATAGTAAGTATTGACTTATCCCACGTTTTACACTAAGTATAGATGACCCAAAATTTTGACTTATACTCCTTTGCCCACAAACGATATAATTATTCTCATATATAGTGCATAAATTTAACAGAAATTTGACAAGCAAAGAAAACCGAAGGCAAATAACAAAATAATGAAGACAAACATTTAAAAAATTGTACACACACAATGTAATAACAAGGTAATGACCAGATGTCAATGGAATTAGATAACGAAATAGTGGATACAATTAATATTATGTTATTTAGAATAATTGATAATTTAATTTTTTTTTGGAGCATGTTTTAAAATATGAATATCTTTAACAGTAGGTCTAACAACATTTTGGTTTTAGGAATGGTAACGACTACGTTTTTGTGGGGGTTGATGGGCGATTTAATGGGACGAAAAAAAATTATTATAATAATTTGTTCTTTGGACTTTATTTGCTGGATTATGTCAGCTTTTGCACAATCATTTGTGAAACTTTTGGTGTCAAGATTACTTGGTGGAATGGTGTAAGTATTCTATTTTACGGGTTTCCTTCGGGAAATGGAAAATTTTAAGGTATAAATATAACGATCTAGATACAAATTACCTTAAAAGAATCAGTTTTTAGCTAAATATTGCAAAAAATATTTAATACAATTTTGTCCATATTTAATTTACTGTGGAATATATGTTTCGATTTGCCCCTGAATTCAAAACAAACCCTACATCAACTTGTGAATTAAAATTTTTCAATGTTAATAATTTTTAGACAGAAGCTTTTGAGGCACACTGTGAATTTCAAAATATTTTTAAATTATAGCTCCAATAAATATTTATAAAAATAATTAAAAAGAAATCATATGTTATAGTGTGGACCGACAAGTATAAGATGCCCTACCCTGTATGTGTTGCAAATGGTTTTATAATCGTTGTAATGTAACTGAGATAATGATTATGATCGTATTGTTATGTTTGTCCGATATTGTTATTTTCTCAGACCATCATTGGACCCGGTCCTTTGGGGGGGGGGGGGGGGGGGGCATACGAGAGTCCGTGTAACAAACACGTAGAGGCTTTTTGGTAAGGGACACACGGGTCGGATAAAATTCTCGACTTTATCATATGATATTCCCGAATATCATAATTGTTTTTATATTACTAAGAAGTAATAATTACTATTAGTTGCCTGTAATAAGCACTACAATAACAGAATATAAGCACTGGTCTATAGTGCAAATGTTATTTATACTCATTTTCTTGATTGGAGGTGCTAACTTCCAATCAAAATTAGCATTATAAGAAGTTTATTTCAAAAAGTGGAGGAGCGCAAAAAATTTTTCTCCACTACAAATTAACGACAAATTAGTCATACAAAAAAAATGTTATTTTTGCTTACGTCACGGTAAAGTTAGCACTACGAGGGGTTATTTTGAAAAGAGGATGAGCAACAATTTTTTTTAACGACAAAAAAACGACAAATTTTCCAATATTCAAAAATTCAAAATTCCAAAGTGTTAGTGCTAACTTCACAGACGTCTAGAGTGTTATCAGGGAAATCAGAAAATTTAAAAAATTGTGTCAAATCAAATTAGAGTATACTTTTGTGTCATCTAAATGCATAATAATTCGTATCTACTGTTTGTGTATTTTTTTAATTTTTTTTAGGTCTAGCGGAATTTATGCAAGTCTGGCTTCTTACATTACTGAAACACACGGTGTAAAACATAGAGCTGTTATGCAACTGTTTTTAGGAAATATTTTTGGAATAGGAGACTTATTATTACCGATAATGGCTTTAGGCATTTTGACAAATAACGAAATTTACAAAATATCGTCAATAGGTTTGTCTCATAAGTTATACGTCATTAACAAATATAAATAGTTTATATTGTACAGTGTGCATCATAAGTGTTAATCCCTTGTAACTCTTTTAAGTGCACAATTTGCAGACATAGTTTAGTAAATAAACCGCACAAAAACAGGTGTGTTAACACATTCCCTTATGGTGAGTTTACACATGCATGGATTTAGTGGCGCCAGTGGTCGCGCCAGTTCTATTTGCACGCCAGTAAAAGTTTACACATTGTTCAAAAACCAACGTAACTGACACGCCATTTTGATTTTTAAAGTGTTTTTCACGGTACGCACTATGTCGAGTGAACTTTTTGAAGCCTGTAAAATAGTCGCTAAACTTTTAATAGAAAAAAAGATAAAAAATTACAGAAAAACAAACGCAATCAACGAAAAGGCCGTGTTTGGGTTAAACCATGGATTGGTCGTGGACATAATTTGAGTGCTTCTGCAAAACTTCTAGAAGAACTCGCAGCAGAGGATCCTGCAAGCTATAAAAACTATCTTCGAATAACAAAGCAACATTTTGATACTCTTCTGGATTGTGTGACGCCACGTATTATAAAAATGGATACCCATATGAGAGATGCGTTAACACCACGATTAAAATTGGAAGTAACATTAAGGTATCTTGCAACAGGAGACTCTTTCGCTTCATTGCAATATTTGTATCGTGTTCCAAAATTTAAAATTTCAAATTTTATCCCAGAAGTTTGCTAAGCCATTTAGATGCGTTAAAAAACTTTATTAGGGTAAGCAAATACATAATAATATACAGAAGAAAGATAGAGCTTGAACGTTTGTAATTTATGCAATAATAGATATTAACAATAATTAAAAAAATAATCTTAATAATCGTCGTCATCAATTAAAGCATGTATTGCCTGTGAAAGCAGATCTGTGTTAGTAGTATTGTTGTAAAACTGTAAATGGCCTTGCTGAGTATTATCGTCATCGTAAGAAAGGTTTGAGCATGGGTCAGCAGCATTTTCATAAGTATTTGATGAGGAAGATGAATAAGGTCGTGATAATTGCTGGGGCTGCTGGGTATGTGATAATCGATGCCGAGCAAGATACGATTGGATGTACTCCATCGATTCCAAAGCGATTGGTTCTGGTAGCTTTTTCAACGAAGAAGCCATCGACTTACTAAAACAATCAAACTCATTGTCCTCTTCTCTATTAGACGTTTGATCTAATTTTTGTGCGATATCCTTTAGCCCGTGTATAGCTTTATCGTTGCTACTTGTCCTTTTTTGAACCCTCTTTGGAGCTGTGAAGGTCGAGATTAATTTTTGTGCAATTGGTTTTCTGGCCACAGATGACTTCTTCGAGGAAGACGGCACTTTGGCCACGGATGACTAATTCGAGGAAGACGGCACTATGTCGATAGTTGCTGTGACTGCGTATTTTCTAGACCAGCATCAAGTTCAGATTGTGATTCAGACAGTGATTCCGATTCAATTTCCTAGAATAAACAAGCTCTAAACAAGAATGGAAGAAGAATATTCAAGGTGTAACGTTTAAATTTGGCCTTATAGCGGTTTTTTCATAAAAATAAGAATACACTAGTTTTTATCCGTGTACAATAATTATTTAATGGGTCCTTCTATACCCGCATTTTTAACCACTGTGCTTTTGGTTCGCTATTCGGACAGAGCGGTCATTCTGTGACACTCTGGGGAGCATGTGGCTGCTCTGTATTTAAGATGTCGGTCTAGCGTTTCCGCTCTGATGTTACGTGCGAGTATATGATGGTATTACTGGTTCTTGGAATTTTAAGTGACAGATTACCGGCCTTTTTCTGGATTTTTTCGAGACGGTTATTCGACACGAGGTTTTTAATTTGGAAAGTATTGTTTCGAAATTTATTGGAAGTCGTTTCAATCCATTTGGGATATTGCGAAGCAACCTTTTTGTGTTAAGTTACAACAGTGTGGATTTGGTAGTATTTTTTGGTGATCACATGTTTTTTTTTTTTTTTTTGTAATGGGATGGCATCAGACATGCAAGGGATCACATGTTGTAGGAGCTCTTAGAGAGGATAGGAGCTCTTAGAGAGGATATATTTAACCACGTGTTGAATCTCATTAGTAAGTTTTTTCTACATAATATTTAAAGTTACGACGTAGTTATTCTTATTGTAAGACCTTCGTTCTTTTATTTTAGTGTCCACATATATATGTAGTCTTTCTGAATAAGTCGTTCACGAATTTGCCATCCCAAGCTGATCTGGTGCGTAGTTTGTTCCCCTTTGCGGATTTAAAAAGGGTAAATATGCTTTGATTTTAGTTAGAATGCTTACTTAGACCTAACCCTAGGTTATGCTCTTTTCATTATATATATATTTTCAGTATATGGTATTGACTATTAGGGGTAGTATCTTGAAATATAAGGGTGTAATTTACCTATTAAATGTAATTGTTGGGTAGAACTCGCTTCACGAGCCGTCTATCTTTTTGGCTTTGTAAATCTTTATTATTAATTAACATGGATAAGATTCATACCCTTCAAGAAATTTGATTGTCATTTCTGCTTACCACTTTCTTTAGTCATAATAAACTACATAAACTACAATCACAATCAACAAAACCCGAAACCAAACTAAAACTGGCAAGTAGATGCCAACGTCCGACGTGCAAGCACTTGTTTACACTTGCAAGTTTTGAATTTCGATAGGAAATTTTCAACACTGGCGCTAGTAATTTCAGAAGGTTGCAGACTTTTTTGGTCTATGCATGAAAAAATAAAACTTGCATGCAAGTTGATGTATACACATGCTAATTCAATTTACTGGCGCGCCAGTTTTTATTGGCATGCATGTGTAAACTCACCATAACACTTTAGGAGCATATCCCTATAAGAGATCGATTTAATGACACTGCCGTTTTAACCCATTTCATTGTAGCGTTTAACGTGGAAACCTTTATTTCGTAAAAGTAGAACTGGCGTGGTCATTGGCGCCAGTCAGTCCATGCATGTATAAACTAGCCATTACCGAAATTAAATTTTAATAATCTAATCGGTCTGTACTTTATAAATCAGGTATCTTTTGCAGCCCCTTAACTATCGTAAAGATCTCTTAAAATAATGTTTTAAACTCGCAAGATAATTAAAATTTTACTATTTTTTTTTTTACAGACGGGCAAAAATAAACGGTTAACTTATTTTTTTAGTGATACATCCATGGAATAGCTACGTGTTAATTTGTTCTTTACTTCCATTTCTTAGTGCTCTTGGATTCTTTTTGCTACCCGAAAGTCCAAAGTTTTTAATGAGCAAGAGTCAGAACGATCAAGCTATTAATGTTTTTCAGTCTATTTATTCATTAAATACAAACAAAAATAACAAACTGGACTATCCTGTAAGTATTTCAAAATTAAAAGTTTGCAGCAAATCCCATACAGATACCTGCTTGTAGGTATTTACATTTATTTATATTTTGTTTAGGTAAAATCTTTAAAACGGATATCGAAAAATGCTGATAACTTAAACACCTCACCGCAAAATGAAGCCACTAATGGTTGTTTATGCAAAATTGCATTGTTCTGCGAACACGAAAATTTAAAAAATATCTGTCTAGCAGTGTTTTCCCAGTTTTTTATAATAATGGGGTAAAAATTGAGGATAAATTCATACTCATTTGTATTAATTCATTATTGTTTATTTAGATTAAACTCTGTTTTACTTTGGGTGCCGCAAATATTTCAAGAAATGAGTAATCGTCAAAAGAATCATAACCGCACTGCAACATTTTGTGAAACAATGTACGATTTATGCCACAAAACTAATGATATTACAGACAATTGTGAAGAGGTAAGTTATACAGATAAATAGCGAAGTTTAAAAGTTAAGTTCTATCGGTTTTTGTCTCACGTCGAGAGGATGAGTAACAGTTAACTGCTACATGTAAGTTGTTTTAGTAACTTTTTTCCTACTTGTATTCTGTATCTGTAACGTGTGGAGGGTGGGTTACTCCACGGCACTTAGGCCTCATTAGGTCCATTGTGCATCCTCCTGAGATGATAGGCACCTCCTAGCTCGTGAGCCTGCCTACAGATTTAATGTAGTTGACACCGTCGCCAAGAGGTGCTTCTCTTATATTGGCCGGTGTTAGCCGATACTCGCCGAAAACAAATCTTCTAATAAATGAGAGCGTCGAGCAATTGTAAAGAATGTGCTCGATGGTCTCATCTTCTTGTTCGCACCGTCTGCAGAGTGCAATTTCTGACAGCCCCATGATATGGAGATGCTTTCGTACTTGGCAATGATCAGTCCGAATGCCTATGACTAGGCACAGATTATGTCTAGTAATAGTATTTGTTTGCTGCAGTGTTGTCAGGATAACTTAAGAGTTCCTTGGCAACTCTGCAGTTTCTTGTTTCATCCCATCTTTCCTTGAATTTCACAAGGAAATGTTCTTTGATTAGGTCTGTCACTACCGATTTTGTCAGGCCAATAGAAGGGCCAGGTCCAAAAAGTATTTGGTTGGCTGCTTTCTTGGCTAGTGAATCAGCAAGACGGTTACCTTTCGATGTGGCGTGACTCCATCTTAAGGTGACCACATTGTTGATGGATACTTCGGCCAAAGCTTTGTGATATTCTAGTACTAACCCTGCATAAATTCATGGTCTGTTCAGGGTGAGTAGTGCTTGTCTGCTATCTGAATAGATAAGCATGTTCCTTCCAGTAATATTGTTTCTGGTTATTTCTTTTGCTGCTATGAGAATCCCCGTTAGCTCCTCTACTTGTATAAATATATCGCCTAAATTATTTTCATGATATTTATATATTTATATTCTTAAGTCTTCTTGCTTCTACTAAAGTTTTTTTAAGCTTTTCTTTGACATTTCTTGTACATTTAAGTTTCTGTTCATATATTTGATAATCGGATCGGTAGCGTAGGTGTCTAAGGCACTCGCATTCATTTGCGAGCAATTTTGTGGTAAGAGACATACTGGCTTCGAATCATACAAAAGACCATGTACATTTATTTGCAAGGTTTTCCATAGGACTTGATGGATGTTGTGTTACCAGAAATTTAATTTCTGTCTATATTACATCCTGATTATAAAAATCGCCATTTCGATGATGATGGGTTATTAATGGGACTGTATAATATTATTTTTTTTTTCTGATCCTATACATATAGGGTAGCAAAAAGTCTGGTAACAAGATATGTTAGGTTGATAAATAAGACTGTATTACATTAGTAATTTGGTACGTTTTTAGTATTCCGAAAAAAAGCAAAAAATAAGCTTTCCTTTGATACATCGTTCGACCTACGGTACGCTAAACGCTGACATCACATAAGTTTGACATGTTATCTAAAAATACGAACAAGTTGTAGCCAGACCTTTTCGACTTCTTCTATTTGTTGTTTGACTATATATTTATGTTTCAGGATATGAGCGGAAATATTAATACTTACGTATATTGTATGGTAGTAGCTTTAGCCACAATTATACTATTTATAATTTCTGGATTCGTCGTTAATACTATTGGTAAACATAAATTGTTATGTAAGTAGACTATATGCAAATCTTGTTTTATTTTATATTTTTAATTAATTATTATATTGTGGAATTTTTGTGTAATTTTTTTTTAGATATTCTAGGAATATGTTCTGCAATATCTACAGTTTTATTAATATTAGCTGATGGTATTTTTCAGACATTATTACTTACTGCAATTATTTGTGCTTTCGGTAATATTGGATTTAATGCTTTAGTAGCCATTGTTGCAGATATTTTTCCTACAAATTTAAGGTAGGTCATATTAATTTATGCGTTGAAATAAGAATGAATAAAATTCACTTAATCCAATGCATCACATAGTTTTTCTTTTTGATTAGTTAATTAAATTACAAAGATTTAACTTTGAAACTAGTCATACCCGGATCAAAGTGAGCATGGAGAATGAATATCGTAAAATATAATTTAAATAATAAGTGTCCGAATAATTTGAAAATTCAGAAAAAAACTCAAAAATTATTAAAATCATTCACGATCCCAAAGGTGAAAACAAACACTTGAAAATTTGAAAAAATCCTGTCGTAGCCGGGAATCGAACCCGGACTAGAGAAGTGTCCTACTTTCTAGACTATTATGACATTGAGCGTCGAGTTTCCTAGGCAGAAATTTGATGTGCTAGTTCGGCCAGACGGCCGTCAATCTCATTCTCAAATCATCAAATACCATTATACAGCATCGGTATATAGGGTGGCCCAATTAAATCACTACACCTCAAATATTTTCCTACTAGAAGTTTTTTTGAGAAATCCCCGAGACTGGTAGACTGGTCGATTTTGATTTCGAGGGGGACTTCTTATGATCTTTAATTTATGGATGTAGGTTTATCCTCCTGAACTGGGTGGCCATCCCTTTAAGAATACGAGGGGTCAAGTGGCACAACATTTTAAAGGTATTTTAATTCTCTTTTCAAAGCCGATGACATGTTTTTGTTCTGTATTAAAATTAATGTAAGAAACATGTTAAGAGTGTCGGTGAAATAAATAAAAAAAAAAAAAAAATTTCATAGAAGTTTTAATTAATTAAATTTTCAAATTGTAACCCATTTACTTCCATGCAGTACTACTTTCTTTGTTCAACATGTTTCCGAACATTTCGGGGCATTTTAGGCGTTATTTCTCCATATGCTTGCGCTTTTCGGTTGCAAAAATCTTCCAAAGATGTAGGTTTCGTTTTATAAACAACACTTTTTAAATAACCCCACAAGAAAACATTCAATGGTGATAGATATGGTAATAGATCTGGCGATCTTGGGGGTCATTTAATGAAACTACTTTTACCAATCCAATGTTAATTTAAAAAGTCACATAGAGAAGCTTTATAGTGTGGCGAAACGCCATCCTGTTGAAAAAATACATTATTTTCTGGAATCTGATCGTCGTTTCTGAGAATATCCACAGTGCTAGGGTAGATCAAGTCTTCAAGCAAATTGAGGTAAGACTCACCCGTCAAGTTACTACCAAAAAATCGCTTTTCGCGTCATTGGAGTCGTATGTTTTAGCTGCGTCTTGTGAAAAATTACCGTAAGCAACAGTATAAAATGAAATTAATTTTATGCGCCAAAACAAAAAGTTGCTCTTCGAAATTACATCTAAAGTCTATTTGGTTTTTTTATTCCCCTGTAAAATTTACTTTTTGGGGTTACGATGTTTTGCACCTAAGCCATCGATATACCGATGCTGTATAGAAGCATTTGAAGATTTGAGAACAAATTTCACCGTTGTCTAGCCCGAACAAGCACAGTAAGGTTTTTTCTAGGAATCTCGACAGTCAATGTCGTAATAGTCTAGAAGGAAGGGGCACTTGTCTAGCATACAAGGATATCCAATTACGATTTCCGGCTGCGACAGGATTTTTTCAAATTTCCAAGTATTAGTTTTCACAGTTGGGGTTCGGGGATGGTCTTAATAATTCGCGGTGCACCTGAACTGCGGAAAAATAATCTGGTTCTATAATCCGACACCCGAACTGCGGAAACAAAATAATTGGACCTGGTCTGTATAATCTAAAACACCCAAACTGGGAAACTAGTCTTCGAAATAATGGTAGCGTATGGAAAGAAAACAACGAACAGATACAATTTGAAATTCAATTTTATTTAATAAGGAAATATGTAAACAATAAATTAGAGTGAAACAATACTACCAAATTTGATTATTATTGCAAAATTTTAGATTCAATATATTTTTGTTTATTTAAGACTTCGCATCTCTGTAGCCTCTTCTCATGTTTTAACACATTAATTCTTATATAGGTGTCAGTCTGCATATTAATAACCGACTTTAAAAAATATTAATAATTGGATGTGGAGAGGGACAATAAGCACTAAATTTAAAGTGAAATGACTAGGGTGTATTGGTATTTCTTTAAGTAGAAGAAGTTTTAGCTGCCCATATTTTGGGTAGAAACATATCTATATATTGTATCCACTAAATAGGCACAAAACTGAGTAATTCTTTCATCATCTGGCTTCTCGGCCATGAAATCTTCAACAAATTAGGTCTTTACATTCTGTGCTCAGACCAAGTTGTTGTATTTTGCGCCACCTTAAAAACGTTCATTATTTCACTAGTTGTGAAATGAAAACAACTAAAAATAAACCTGTTTTTTCTTTAAAATCAATATAATATTAAAATCAACTTTTCCCACGTGTCTGATTGTTAAAATATATAGCAATGTCGTCTGAAAAACCGAACTTATAAACGAGAATAGTCCATTAAATCCCTTTTTTATGTCGTTTCCGCAGTTCGAGTGCGTCCATAATTCGTAGATATAATTCCTTAGATATTTATCCGACTTTTCGAATCTCGCTTTGCGATATGCGATATGCGATTTACGATTTACATAAATTCACAATTTTTAAATAATATGTATTTATTATGATTTATTTTTCTTTTAGAGCTATGGCTGTATCTTTAACAATGATGCTGGGTCGATTGGGGGGTGCAATTGGTCCTTTCATATTTCCTGTTTTTTTAACATATGGATGTTTGCCAGCATTACTTTTTATTGCAGCCTTAAATTTAGGTATGTACCTTTATGGTAATATAGTGAATTTGAAGAACGTTAATACAACCCCAAACAGCTATATTTTTTTAAATCTGTTTAATAAAAATAAAATTTTTACGTAATATCTTAATGGCATATACCTGGAATTAAAAATAAATATACATTATTTCCTATATATCTACTCTTGGTAATACAAAATCAAGATTATATACAAATCTTTGATACTTTTGGCAAGATCTGGCATTAATATCCACTCTTTAAACTTTAAAAAATATTTCTACATACGATATATCTCATTCTGGGATTGTACTGAAAGGAATGTACTTTATGGTAAAAGTACAGTAAAAAAAACTTGCTGGATCTCGTCCTGTATCTGTAATTAAATTAAAAATATTCATGAAAATATGATTCTCTAAACATTCTTTTAAATAAATTTGCATATTTCTCAATTCGCTATTTTACTTCTAATTTAAGAGAGGGCACCATTGAATCATTTTTTTTTCTGTATTTTTCAGTTTGGATAGTTCTTGTTTACCAACTACCTCATATAGAAAATTCTGAGACATCCAAGAACAGTGAAGAATGAAGGAATGATGTTTCCATAAAATAAAAGTAATTAATTGTGATAAATGGTAGAAGACCATCGACAGAAGCTTTCCAGTCTGACGATGTTTTAACACTATTGGAAATATTTGTAGTTCAGAATTAAAAAGAATATGCAATGATCATACTTCTGCGAATCTGACAAACTCATGAGATCTCTGTAAGCAATAAACTGATTTAGGCAAATCTACCCAATTTGTAGGGCAAACTGGCCTAAAATGACATACCCTGAGCAATAACTTTGACAAAACTTGAAAAAGAAAACTTTAAGCATCCATTTAGTGTTTAATGGGGTAGTTAGTTTATGCCGCTTCCTGTTATAGGCACAAAACTTTGAACTTTTACATTTTGAAGCAATGGCATCTAAATTAATAGAAAACTGTGCATTATGTCATTTTAGGCTTCTAATAGGATAAAATGACATAGTCATAGAAAAGGTTGAAAATTAAAAAATAATAGTAAACGGGTCAACATACCCAACTAGAACGTAAAACAGCTCAAGACGTTAAAAAAAACAAAAAAATGATTCGTAAAGTAAAAAACTTTGTTTGTGGGGAAACACCAGCACATTCTGCATGACTTCACTTCTTACATTTTTGACACCGCAGCCAAAGCTCACCTGGTTTCGACTGGGAATAAAGGCTGTTGTAATAATTACATGCATTGTTTTCCTCATCATTTTCAATCCCAGCAAATGGATATTGGGTTTTTTGTTCATCTTCATCGTCCCACAGCTTGATTTTAACCTAGTTACGTTTTCCTCGTCGCTCCAAGACTAAACGTTTCTGTTTCTATTTAGCCTTGAGTTCTTCTAAGTTTGGTGTTGTGGATAGCATAACTGTTCCTTAACTTTTACGATTAAAAGACATGGAAACCTTTGGTATTGGAATTATGCTCCCTACGGAAATTTTACTACAGTCTGATATACCTTCTTTATTTAGAGTTATCTGAGAGGTATTTCATGATCCAGGTATGTCCGTAATCTCAATAGCGTCTGATGGTAGTGGGAATGTGAGTGGAGGCTAGTGGTCTAGTGTTTATGATTCGAGATCATTTTGTTCAGAAATGTTGTTAAAGAAGCAGCAAACACCCAATAGGGAAAAATATTTGCTTTGAATGAATAGATTCCAACTACCGGAATTTTTCATTGATGCACTACGTTCATAGGCTTTAGCACACAGCTTTCCTACTTTAAAGGAAGTTACAGTTCGACCAGGGTTATTCTTGAGTCACTTTGTAATTGCCAGAGTATAATAAGTGGATAACTTCTAATTGTTTGTGGCTAACGTGACCGTCAAGCAGTAGGAGCCTAAAATGACATAGGTATGTCATTTTACCCCAATATTGTTTATGTCATTTTACCCAAAACAATTATTCCTTAGAAATTATTTAAAATATATATATAAAACAAATAAATTAAAAGTTTATTATATTAAAATAAAGAAAAAAAAAAGACTTCTTGTTTACCTGTACTAAGCCAACTTAGGCTTATGGCTCCTCATAAATTATTACAGGCAAGTACACAAATATTTATTTGGATTGAGAAATGTGACTCTTTGGTATTTAGTCCAGACGCGTGCCGCTGTCATGTTGAATAAACTTGACTGTGGTCACGGATGAAAAATATTTGCAATTAGCTGTTTAGGGCAACGTTGTCACATCTTAAAGTAGCAATGTGGTCGATATGTCATTTTACCCGAGTATGTCATTTTAGGCCAGTTTCACCTATTTATTTTACTTTCGATATTTTTTACCTAAATTCGAGGAAAGATAAATTAGGGGTTCCTACGTTATCGAGAATCTATGCTTCTACGGGCCAACTCGTGGAATAAAAGAAAATAGAAACGATTAGATTTTGAACGTAAGACTGACAGAAGTATTAGGATGTTGAATTTTCAGGATTGTGAAGCATTGCTGTTACTAAGGTTACATCATGTGGATAATCTTCACATTGATGGTCATGATTTTAAGTCCTTCAGTCGCGCATGCCTATGAAACGTGGTTATCTACCATGAGTACTAAATGCCCGATTTTTAAATTGGTAAAAAAAAACGATTACATCACATCCTTTTCTCAATTTAAGTCTTTTGTGTTGTGATTAAACGATATATTTCATTTTTATAAAATAGGAACCAGATAAGAGCTTCATTGTAATGCATGCAAAAATTTGTATTTACTTACAATAAAGTGACATATTTGATGTTTAACTCCATGTACCTCGAAAACTAGTCATAGAATCAGTTTGGCAAAATGAACACTTTTTGTTCTACAACATATTGTCACGCGAAGCTGACTCTGTTCTTTGTCTACCCGCGATATGAAGTCTAGCGCTAGTCATATATCAATACCCGCACTCGTTAGAGAAATTACTAGAGACTATCAGGTGCTGCAATTGCGATTAATTGGGACATGTACGCAGTTCGCGCAAACGCTCTCGAGTACCAACAACTGAAGACAACACGCCCGAGGAAAACTAGAGCTAGTCGGATTAGAGGGGGCAGCTTCGACACGAAACCATTTCAAAGACCCTCTCATAGTGATAGTCTCTGAAATTTCGCGATGATAGTGTATACGTAGAAGACGAAGTAAATGGTAAAAATTATACACCGTTGGTGGATACTGGAGCAACTAAGACCATTATACGACCAACAACCATAAATAACTATAAGATACTTCTACTAATAAGATTGCGACTGCGAACTGCCACAGGTAAAAGTGCCAACATCCATGGGGAAATACAGGTTCAGTTGGAAATTGGTACAGGATTTTTCTGATATGGAAGATGTTATACTTGGAATGGATGTAATGAACGTACATGGTTTCCATTTAGACTTTAAGAACAGAGTTGGCGTCACGTGACATTATCAACATTTCAGAAAATTTGACGGAAACTATTTTTCCATAAGAAAGTTGCTTATAAATATGATTTGCATTAATTGTTGTTGTATGTTTTATTTACAGATATTAATTTGCTTGCAGTTTTTTGCAAGTGATAAGTAAAGATATTATTTAAATTAATTTTATATCATAAAAACTAGTTTTTTTGGATTTATTGACTGCACCTGTATAGCTATTTTTCCTCCAAAAATTAACGATTCAGTTTATCCTGAACATTTATATATTATGAGATTCAAAAAATCATCCTTCGATAAATTCACAATTGGTTTGTTGTAATTAAATTGTTACGGTCCGTCCTTACTTATGAAAGGGGCCAAGTGTTATTTTTTCTAGTTCAATTGTTACGTGTCCGCGGAAAGTAGGATCGGGTCCTTAGACAGAACTTAATAAAACAAATTTTCGTCTGACAGTTAATTTATTTCTGAGGTTAGAACAATTATGAATGGAAAAAAAACTAAAATACCACGCCGTTTATAATAATTATTAGGATATACCTGCCATGGAGGAAGGATTATTAAGAGTTGCCGTTTCTTTGTAGAAATTTGCCAACATGTTTGCTTGCAGCGACCTGTGGGGTGGAGGAGTAGAACTATTCTTACTCTGTCGGTAATGTAGTTACCAGGGTATATATTCTTGAATCTTAGGGAGTAGAAAATTTGAGGGAAGAATGAGACAAAAATACAAATTTTGTGCGTTGCAGATAAAGAGGAAAAACCGGTTTTCTACTCCCTCGAATTCAAGAATAGCTACCCAGCAGTATTACTATTAACTCTTACTCTGTCGGTAATGCAGTTAACCGTAATTTTACATTTAATTTAAAAATTGGCGGGTTTTTTTAAAGAAGAATTTACTTTTGCAATTATTTTCTAACTAATACGAAATATAGCCATACAAAATTTTGGCAGTAATTTTTTTTAATTTTTAGTGAAATAAAAAACATGTACGTGTAGCTAAAATATGTTTCTCTGGAGCCATTTTTTCAAAATTTAATAAAATTTTGATGGCAATAAATCGCAAAATTTTGTTTTTATGAAGATTTCACTTTTACCTGAAGATATATATTTTTCATTTACTAAAAAGTAAAATTAAACTATAGAAATATTTGTGGCTCTATTTCGTATTGTTTAGAAAAAGATAATTGCTTAAGTAAATTTTCCTCTTAATTATAATTAAAATTTTCCTTTTTTATTAGCTGTTTGTAACAATTATGAAATGCCCAATAAAAATGTAAAATTCTATGACAAATAATTATGAGGGATAAAATAAATATCATACAAAGTTTTATATAATTATATTTACTAAAAATTCCAAAGAAAAATAAATAAAAAATATATCAAAAAGATGGCAATACAAAAAAATATTTTTCATGCACTTCACCCCCACCATACAAGCGAGCTTATGCGAAGCAAGAATGTCTATTATTATTATTATTTACTATGGCGCTTCCGGACGTCTTATAAACGATTCTTTAAGAAAGTTACTCTAATATCACAAACATTACATTACTATTTCGGTACGTTAAGTATCTTTGGCTAACAAAAATCAGAAATTGCACAACAAATAATGAATTTACTTCATATGAAAACTAATGCCTAAGTAAATAAATTTTTAAAATAAACAAAAAATAAAACAACAAATTCTTCTTGAATCTTAGGAAATAAGACAAAAGCAACCATCCATATAAACTGAAACAGAAAAAATTAAATGCAGTAACTTCAAATCATTTTGTTTGTCTTTTAGACATTGCAGCAGCCCTCATACTGTCATTATAATACTTTCTTATCATTAATAGTAGACAAGTTTCAACTAAATGAGAAAAGACGTCTGTTTTGTGTTCTTTATATGTAAACCAGAGACGGCTCGTGGCCTAGTCTGCGAGGAGGCTGGCTTACCCTATATACTTTATACAAATATATATTTCTATTAGAATACAATGTAATATTTCTGCTTTTTGTATTCTTATAGACATATATTTTTATTAAGTATATAGGGTGTGCCTTTTAAAAGTAGTCTTGTCATAGACTAGGCCACGAGTCGCCTCTGATGTAAACCATTTAAAATCAACATGGTCTGGCAAAAAAGTTTAATTTTTTGAATTGTTGTCAATATGACCCAAAAGTGGTAAAACTATTTCATGAATTTTTGAAAGATATTCAATAACATTTCTTTGTATTTAAATAAAACGTCTTTTATCATCATTTTCTTTAAAATAAGTAAAAGTATCGATGGTCTTCTAACATGTCTATAAATTAACTTTACACTCTTTGCAGTCAAAACCATTAAG